TGCCTGAAAACTCATCCGAGCTTTCGTATACCAGTGATCGAAACCACTAATGTGACATATCATGGACGTTCGGTCGTCGGCGTCACACGACAAACGACCGAGCCACATGTCGCCTTCGGTCATGTTTGTAGATGTTTTCGAACAAGGAAAGAGCTTACTTAACACACACTGAATTCCAGGTCGAACTTATTTGTAACATTTGGTTCACGCTAGAGATTATTATACGATTTATATTCTGCCCATCGAAATGGGGTTTTCTCAAATCACCGCTCAACAATATTGATCTGGTAAGTTTTTGCTAAAATCCACACCAAAAAAACCATGCCAAAGCTGAAATTTGTCGAGCATAACCATTCTAATTGCAGGTAGCAACTTTGTCATTCTATGCGGATGCTATATTTATTCGATTGCTAGAGGATGCTCCAAAAGACGTCGTAGAGTTCCTTTCCATGATTAGGTCATTTTTGCATACTGTAGCTGTTTCAAATGCACATTAAAGATTCCGTTAAAACTAGATTGCCTGACTTCTACTCTTACTCTTTTTTCCTGAACTGCCACATATCATCTTTCAGGATATTTCGATTATTCAAGCTCACTCAACATCATCGTGGTCTGCAGATCTTAATTCACACTTTTCGAGCGAGTGCTAAAGAATTGATATTACTGGTAAGAAGTCTACTATAGGAGATTTAGTTTGATGTAAAGTTGATGTTTAGGTATTTTTCCTCATTCTTGGCATTGTTATCTTCGCTGCTCTCGTCTACTACGCAGAAAAAATGGAAGTCAACCCGGACAATCAGTTTCAGTCTATCCCATTGGGATTATGGTGGGCGATATGCACCATGACTACAGTGAGTGCCTTCTCTTGTCCATTTCTGATTTTCTTCCGAATTCGGAAATTCTATCCCCTAATTTCAGGTCGGCTATGGTGATATGACTCCCCATACATCTTTTGGGCGACTTGTTGGCTCGCTTTGTGCTGTCATGGGCGTTTTGACAATTGCTCTTCCAGTGCCGGTGATTCACTTGCAAACACTTCTTTGCTCTTAATTTCCTGTGTATCTCAAAAGCCTTTGAAAAAATAGTGGTCATATGATCGCATTTTCTATTCAAAATAAGAATATTGAAACTCTAACTTGTGGAAGAAGGATGAATTTTGACGCTGATTTCGAAGTGAACCGCTTAGATACATACTTCTTTATGTCGTTTGCAGAGGTAGCAGATAGTGGCGTACCGAGAGAGAG